CTTGGCCTTATGCCTGGTGTTTTGTTCCACTCTTGCCGCCCTAGTTTCCGTCATATCGGTGTTATGTTCCCGGATTTTGCGTTCCTTACACGGTTGGGCTATAATGGGAACCCCTTGACAGTTCGCCTTAAGTAAAGCTCCTCCAGCAATGCCCAACATTGGTTTTACCATTTGCGCTAACAACCTACCACCTTCCCTTGGGTTCTGCAGACTCAAGGGTCATCTTTATTCTAACCCCCCCGGGCCAGTGCTCCTCTGAGTGTTGGTCCGAACTGAGCTGCCTGCGGGGCCACCTCGGGGAAACTTGAGGGTTGGTTTTACTCGTAGCTAGTCTCATCTGAGTGTGCCCTGAGAAAGAGATATGTGCAGCTCCTATCGGGATTTGTCGGCACATTCGAGCGGTGTTGCTGGTTTAGTTTTACCCTGTCGAAATGTCTTGTTGTACCGGGATACCGAGTCTGATCGGAGTGTCTCGGGTGGAGGTCTATTCCTCCGTTGACCGTGAGAGCTTGTCATGGGCTAAGTTGGGACACCCCTGCAGGGTATTATCTTTCGAAAGCCGTGCCCGCGGTTATGTGGCAGATGGGAATTTGTTAATGTCCGGTTGTAGAAAATCCGAAGTTGACCTTAATTAAAATACATCAACCGTGTGTGTAACCGTGATGGTCTCTTTCCGGCGGAGTCCGGGAAGTGAACACGGTGTTGGAGTTATGCTTGACGTAGGTTGCTATAGGATCACTTCTTGATCATACTTTTATCGACCGTGCTTTGCCCTCTCTTCTCGCTCTCTTTTGCGATTGTAGCCACCATATATGCTAGTCGCTTGCTGCAGCTCCACCTCATTACTCCATCCTTCCTATAAGCTTAAATAGTCTTGATCTCGCGGGTGCGAGATTGCTGAGTCCCCGTGGCTCACAGATACTTCCAAAACCAGTTTGCAGGTGCCTATGTTACCGAGCAGGTGACGCAACCAAGCTCAAGGAGGAGCTCGATGAAGATCTTGCCCTTTGTGTTGTTTCGTTTTAGTTGATCAGTAGTGGAGCCCAGTTGGGGTCGATCAGGGACCTTTGTCGCATTTGGGGTTCTTCTTTTATTTTGGTTCCGTAGTCGGACCTTGATTGTATCTGGATGATGTAATGCTTTATTCATGTAATTGTGTGAAGTGGCGATTGTAAGCCAACTATGTATCTCTTTCCCTTATGTATTACATGGGTTGTGTGAAGATTACCTCACTTGCGACATTGCTTTCAATGCGGTTATGCCTCTAAATCGTGCTTCGACACGTGGGAGATATAGCCGCATCGAGGGCGTTACACAGGTGGAGCAGTTGATGGAACAGGAAGAGGACATCATGGTATTTTCAATCAGCATCTGCACTTCTCCTTTTTCTTCTTTGTTTAGGTGTTTCAAATCTCAATTCATCGGTTTGGAACTTGGACCCTCGGAACTCATTTTTCAGTTCTTACTAAAATCCCAATTTGGTTGTCTTATAATATTTTACTTCTCTGAATTTTCTCTTTCGCCTGTTGGTTTAGTTGTTCTGCATGCACTTGGCCCCAAATCTTTTAACTTAGTTGGTCACAACTCACAGCTGGTGTTTATCTTCTTAGGATCTACCTAGCTGAGGATGGCATGCTGGCACAACAACATGGTCCTATTGGGGATGGTGAAGAAACAAACCCCACTGTCAGTTCTCCAAACCCTACTGGGGATGATGCGCCTCCTGCTCTCGTCCTCTGTTCGTCCGTCCACCTCGCTCCAGCCGCCGCCTCTCGTCCTCGGTTCGTCGTTCCGCCTCTCTCCACCCGTCGTTGCACTGCTTCTGTAGACCACCATGAAGGTGAGATTGCCCCTCCCTTACCCGACATTCTTCCCTTTTCGGATCTATTGCTGCTGTGCTTACTGGTCGTGGATGTTCTGTCGTTGTAGGTGGTTGTTGGTTGAGTGTGAGAGCTGTAGTTCTTCGTCGATCGCTGATCTTGTTCGTCAATGAATTCTGCGGCTGTCATCGTCACCAAGGTATGGTTTGTGGTCTACTGATGCGTATCCATGGATGTTTCTGTGTCGATTTTTGGTTCGTGCCTGTGTAACTCATGAACTGTTTGATCTTATGTCCTCTCACTGTGGGACGTTAAATTTGTTTTTCTTTTTTCAGAAATCGCACTAATTGGTTCGTCGTCAGATTTGCCTTGCTGTTTCTTCTGCTCAAACGATCATCTTTGTGTTGAGGTTCGATTTTCAGCACTTTTCCTTGCCGCTTCAATTTATTGTGCTTTTTCTTGTATGAGATTTCAAGCAAGCTTGTTGAGTTTGTCCTTCTTCTTCTTCTTAGAGAATCTGAGGAGAATTGTTATGTGCGAGTGTACAAACATAGATTTGAAATCAATTCTGCTGTGTTATATGCTTTAAAACGAGATGTACCTAACTGAACTTGTTTGTGCCGTTTAAAATTCAGTTATGTGCAAAGAAACAGCAAATAGCGGTTTACTGTAACTTTTCTTGTATGAGATTTCAAGTGAGATTGTTCAGTTCGTTATTCTTTTTGTTCATAGAGATTCTGAGAAAGATTGTTATGTGCCACTGTATAAAGATGAATTTGAAATCAATTGAGCTGTGTTGTATGCTTTAGTAGGAAATGAACTTAACTGAACTTGTTTCTGGCGTTTAGAATTCAGTTATCTACAGAGATACAACAAATACCAGTGTAGTGTAGCTTTTCTTGTATAAGGTTCCAAGCAATATAGTTCGGTTAGTTCTTATTTTTCTTCTTAGAGATTTTGAGCAAGATTGTTATGTGTGATTGTGTGAAGGTGGATTTCAAATCAATTCTGCTGCGGTGTGCACTTTAAAACAAGAACTGAACTTGCTTGTGCCATTCAAAATACTGATCTACAAAGAAACAACAAATAAGTTGCCAGTTTTAGAAGTGGTGCAACAGATAGTTTGTTAGATGATTGAGACAGCTACAAGGTCATTTGACTCTCCAATCGTTCAAATTTTCATCCAAAAGTACAGATTCGCTGCTCATAGACCACATGAATCGATTGACGTCGTATGTGCTAAATGCACATTAAGATTCAGTTTCGCGTACTGTTTCAGTTACATGAATATTTTTGTCATCAATACATCCATTATATATTAATCTACTCCCTCCGTCTCAAAATAAGTGACTCAACTTTGTACTAACTTTTCCATTTTGCCTTCCTGATTGTACTATGCTCTATCCATTTTGGCTTACATTTTGCCTTCCCGGTTGATCACGTACATGCTTACCTGTACACATAATTCTCATCACTCTTTTTCATGATTCTCGACATCGCAAAAAATAATAAAGAGCAAGTAATTTGATAATAATATGTACCCTGAAAGCCACTCTTCTTCATGACTATATCGTTGTCATCGGATATTATATAGATGTTAAGACTTTTGTTCTTAGAGATTTTGAGCAAGAGCAAGTAATTTGATAATAATATGTACCCTGAAAGCCACTCTTCTTCATGACTATATCGTTGTCATCGGATATTATATGGAGATTAAGACTTTTGTTCTTAGAGATTTTGAACAAGAGCAAGTAATCTGATAATAATATGTACCCTAAAAGCCTTGTCATCAGATATTATATACAGATTAAGACTGCATATCGAGGTCATTTTATAAGATTTTGAGTTCCATCTTTAAGGACAATTTGCAATATCATGTTTACTACGTCTGTAATACTCTTACTGCTGTATTGGGTGTTGAAATGAACTAACTGATATTGAATGTAATGTAGAATCTTAGTTATCATAGTTACACTATGGAATTAGGTCATTGTTGCTGAATATGGTATGTGCTTCTCATGAGTTGGTTGCTTTCAATCACTTAAGTTACGGTATCTTTTCTCAGGAATTGGCGTCATCAATTGATACTCGAGTTTACCTTGTTATTTGATCTGGGCATATCGACTCTGCGGTAAGGTGTGCTTGCCACTCATTTTATCTGGGTTGAGTTACTTGTGCTTGGATTGTGTGTGCTTACTCACACTTTTTTTCTTTCACCGGCTGTGATATTTATATGCATAAAAAACAGAGAACATGAATTCCACTGATCCTGATTTCGATCATGCTGCTGCACGTAGTCGAACTGTTTCCCAACACCGTAACAGAGTGGCAGCACGTCTTGCCCTATTCCAAAGTGCGCTATGGTTTGACATGATCATAGGTTATTCTTGTCCTTATAATATTACGTTCTGTGTGATGTGAACTTATGTGCAAATGACTTGTTTAGGCGCCTTGAATTCTGTACCCGGATCATTGTCCTCTGGTGCAAATGGTGCATTTATGGGTATGGATCATCAACATTCTAATTCAAGCCTATTATGGTAGTGCCCTTTTAACGTATATTACGCCATAGGAGGTGGTTTCTTTCCGGTTGTCTCGCATACATACATACAGCTAGTTAAGGCGCCGTCAGCGAATGCAAAAGAGAAAAATGCGTATCTGGCGTCGAACAGGTCTGTCCTGCTTGTGTCGCCTTGCGATCAATTGTAAAAACAACACCTAGGTCATTATCGAACTGTGCTAAATTAGTTCTTCCGTTTGTTTGAAAGTTACCCCTACCAGACTACATCTACCACACGCTCTGTTTTCTTCTGATTACACAGAGTTTTTAAAAGGTATTTTTGTAGTCAAGGTCATATACCTTAGAAACTTTCTGAAAACATCTAATGCATTCTCTCTACAGCATCGTATAAAAAGAGGTCGTATCTGGGAGCGCCTGAGTACACATGCCAGTTCTATGGCGCCGTGTTTTGGTTCCGCGAGAGATGTAAGAAAGAAACGTGTGTGCCTGAGCATCGTATCATATATAACCTATGCTGCAAGGGCGGTAAAGTGTCAATGCCTGCTTTCAGAAACCCACCACTTTTTCTGTCAGAACTACTTAGGTTTGATGGTGATTCACGTTCTAAGCAATTCTTGGATAAAATCAGACAATACAATTCCCTTTTTGCTTTCACCTCCATGGGAGCAGGTATTGATAAACATATTAACGAAGGTGGTGGTCCATATGTATTTAAAATTCATGGTCAGGTATATCACCGTATTGGATCGCTTCTGCCAAATAGAGGTGCGACTCCAAAATTTGCCGAGCTATATATTCATGACACACAAAATGAGGTCTCAAATCGAATTAATGCCGTGATGAACGAAGATAGTGAAAAAGACAGTGGTATTGATAGAGACATAGCTGATGGTTTGATGAAGATGCTTGATGAGTTTAATCCTCTTGTACGGACATTTAGAATGGCTAGAGATTGACTTGAAAACCAAGGCGAGGAAAGAATTGCTATTAGAATAGTTGGTGCGGAAAAAATGATTCGGTGCAATATAATCTCCCTGCATGCACAATCAACAAGACGTTTACCAAACCAGGCCAGCGCATGGTATGCTCAAATGCACAGCCTATTCAATATTTACTAAGTTCATAGTATACCAAATTGTATCTCCATACTGTACAAGTCCCACTTTTTATTGTCTTTTTAACAGAAAAGATGCTGCTTGATTTTAACCGAGCATCTCTGCTTTTAACTTTATCTTTTCAACAACACTACTAATGCTTTAATGGCACGCGCACACTGTATATGAAAATGACAAATTTGCCTTGTGTAAGCCCAATTTTCTTTCATCACCATTCTTTCCCACTCTCATACTTTGTTATACTCAATGAGATTCATTCAACTCACTTTTAAAATATTACTCTGTAGTCGACCATTCAATTACAAGCACATTTATTTTTACTTCTTCATCTTCCTTTACTTCTTCACTCTTTTCATGTGCTTCATCAGCCATTTTACAGAATATACAGTGTTGTTTTGTTATGCATTTTAATTACCTTAACTGTTGTAAGTTTGTGATGATACAAAGGGAAGTTGCATACATATTTTCTTATTTATACTATTCTTCTATCCATGCTTAAGATATAAAAAATCTTGTTCTGTTCATACTACTTAACAGTCAGCACTTTAGTCATCTTACAAATACCAATTATGTTCCCCTTCTCACTGTATATCAGATAGATCAACACCTGGTCTGTTGTTATTTTTCTCCTGCCCCTTTTGAAATTTCTACTTTATCTTTTCTAGCTTACCATTTTTCATTCCTTTGTTATCTATTCATACACTAGGCTGTACATACTCAAATCATCAATTGGACACCAGAAATATTGACTTCTCTTTGCTCTTTCATCAGCCATTTTACTTGAGCATTCATAAATGTGGGTCCTCAAGATATGTACTCACTAACGATACTTTCCTATCACCATTAATATCATTAATATCCATAGAACACGCTCCTATCTTCCATATCACACAACAATTTCTGTCCATGTAAATAACTTGCTTTCTTTTACCAATATTTTCAGGTTAACTATACTGAAGAGAACCTGCTCGACTACATTGATCCAAACAATGATACACTCATGGTCAGACTTGCAGACGACCATCTGCTCGCCGAATGTCGCATCATGCTAGGAACTGACAAGAGGGCCACTACAACCACCAACATTCGTGAAGGAGACATCTGTGCATTTCGTTTCAGGATCACTTCAAAGGGCCGCCTGGTTCTCACCGTGCACCGCCTCTAGATGCACCATCGAAGACGCTGCAGCCCATGTGTGACTGTGTCAATATAATATAATATAATCCTATGATAACCTATGGTTCGCTTTTGGGCATCATGGTTGTCACTATTCTTTATAGTATATATTTCTATTTCTCATATTAAATTTTTGTTAACTAAAGCAAGCATCCCAAACGCTAACTAGAATAGAAAAGAGTGTTAAAGGGGCGAGTACAACCAGGCACCGCCCAGCTCCCCCTCAAGAGGCGCGCCACGGGCGCGCCCCAACACCTAGTGTAAACACAAGTAGGAGGGCGTGCCACTCCAACTATGGACTCTCACATGTTTTTTTTTGAGACAAATGGATTCTCATGTGTCAATTTTTTTGGGAGGAGTGTAAATATAATTGTTACAGTACATGTCTATAACAGAACGTGCTCCAGGGCTACAATTTACCTGTATATTATTACAATTTACATGTCTATAACAGAATATGTATAAAATTTGTAATTATAAATAATATACATATAAATAAATATATAAACCAAAAAATGCTCACCTATTAATTTAAAATCCATCAAATTAAATTATGATTTTTTTTATAATTTTAATTTTTTGCATATGAATTGAATATCAAAGTAATTTTAGAAAATATTTGTATTAAATAAATTATGCTATAAGTTAAAAAAACTATTTTTTATAAAATAACTATGTTGTATATAAAATTGTCCAAGATTTAATCTGTTTATTTTGTTTTATAAGTGTTCATGCATTTTTTATAAATTTTGTGTGTTTCTATAAATTATATTTGCATTTCTAGATTAATTTAAATATATGTATGAAGAAAATTTAGCCAAGTGTGCCTCAGACTGCAGATTCTCAAATGAATATGTATTTACAATACAATTTACATTTTTGAGGCTAAAAATGAAAAAGGAAAAAACTAACATGTTTAAGGCACGAAATGCTAGTGGTTGTATTGCTAGGTCCTGCTGGTGGTAATTGTCAGGCCGCTAGTACGAAATCCCACGGCGGTATCTTTTTTGTCTTTTCAAATTTACATTTCTTATTTTATGTTCCCTGTGTTTTTTTTCCTTCTTCTTATTTTACAATATTTTAGGTCAGGATGTAAAAGGCTTAATATCATTATATGACATCGATTGTTATTTGCTGGGTTGGCTACCCGCCACACTCCGTTTGACCCAAGCGTCACTGGTTCGAGTAATGCGTATAGAAACGATATTTGCACCGTATTTGCACATTCGAGCCAAGTTTTTGCACCACTTCGATGTATGCCACAAGTTCTAGCACTAAGGTGATCATTTACGCCAAGTTCTAATACTACCGGTGTAATTGACTCATACCTGCCCAGCTCGGCACGATGCTAAAGTCCTTTTTTTGGGGTTGGGTTTGCCAAAATAATTAACTGCTCTTGGTGTACCTACTTGCATGATTACCAAGAGAACCCTTTCATACAGCTAGTCGACAAAAGGCAGTAATGCTACATTCATGGGGAGGTTTTTTACAGACTTCACGTGGTAGCAAATGTGAAGGCTGAAGGCTTAAGATTGGGTTTAACGGGTGGGAAGAGGCCCACCCCTGGTGAAAATCAGGGGGAGGGGGGCTAGTTTGATTAGATGGAACAAGCCCGTATTAGTCCCCTAAAGGCCCATGAGTCTAGCATTCTTGCGACAAAATGTATTACGGCAGTTGTCTTTTTGCTTGTCCCATGCTGGATATGACGGCCAATTTAATTTCTTGGACTACAGAGTAGTGTTCTCGATGGCCAACTCTTGATGGTCCTCAAGCTTTTGGTTTTGCAACTAGACCTAATAATATATAGAAATATGAGTAATTTCAATTTTTGCCCTGTCAGCTTTTACTCCGTTTAGGAAAGGTTTTCTACTACCTCTATAAAATTTTATAAGTCGTTTTAGCTCATTTAATGAGTTAAATGACTAATAAAAATTTACAAAGGGAGTAGCTTTTACATCACTTAGTAATCTATGAGGTGGGTCTTAAAACGTGTGTGAAAAACAAATTGTAACAATATCTTTTTTCAAAATCTTCTTAGTTGAGACGAACAACTCAACTAAAAAATACTTTTTACGTTACATCGTACTACCTAATATGATGGGTAGTATTTAATTGATCAAATGATCAACATAGGCTGACTCGGGATTTGGCTCAAGGACATATTGGTAATTCTTTGTGTGGCACCGCTCCTGTATGATGCCAAAAGCGTGAGCAATATAAGAGGAGATCTCCGCTTCGGCGCCTAGGGCATCTCCGACAATGTCCCGCAAATTTGCTCCGGCATTCGTCCACAGTAATGGGACCAGTCCGCTTAGGGCATTGTAATTAATGGTAGAAAAAATCCAGTCATTATGCACCCAATATTAGGTACACACAATGCATCAGCATGACAACAGTGCTCTCAGGTTCTGACGGTTATTTTAGAGGATGATGATACAACATAAAAGTAAATAAATAGTTCCTTCGCAGAGGGAAGCAGTGATTTGCAGCTGTGCCAGAGCTCAAATTTTTTAAAACAGATGTAAATGATATTTTGAGACATGCACCCTTCTCATTTACTTCACGACTATCAATTATCAATATCTTCCATACTAAGCACGCTAGTGGCGGTTCCCAAGCGATAAAAGTAAATGTTTTGACTCCATTGGGAGTTTTTGTTTGATTATTTGTAAGCTTTTTCTATTTGCAGTTTGGGTCTGGCCATCTCTATTGCCGTCATTTTCTCGTGCGATGGCGAGTGAATAAACACTCGACCTGAGAATAATTCGCTTAGCATGGAAGATACCGACCACCTTCTGTCGTTCCATGAAAGATCCAGACACACACAAAAAGATATTTATTTGAAGTTTATAGAGGTGGCACATGCAAATTTACTTAGGACGGCAGGGTAATACCGCATATAGGTAGGTATGATGGACTCATCTAGAATAATTTGGGTTCAAGGTTTTAGATGTACAAGCAGAATTCCCACTTAGTACAGGTGAAGGCTAGCTAATAGATTGAGAAGCGGCCAGCTAGAGAGCAACAACGGTCATGAACATGCATCATGCATAAGTAACATTGGACACTAGCATGAGTAGGATATGAACACCAAGAACATAAATATCATAGATGCTATGTTGGTTTTGATTCGACTACATGCATGAACATGTGCCAAGTCAAGACACTCAAACATTCAGAGGAGGATACCATATCGTCATACTACATCACAATTATTTTAACGCAATGTTGATATCCAAGATAAGTCATTATCCACTCCCAACTACTTATGCATGGCATGAGAAACTATAATATCTAATTGTCATTGCAAACATGTTTAATCATAATAGGCTGAATCATAAATACTAGGTTAAACATATTTACAAAAGCAGAACAAGTCGAGTTCATACCAGTTTCTCTCTGCCACATCCAGTTCATCAAATATTGTCATTATTGCCTTTCACTTCCATGACCGAACGATGTGAAAATAATAATAGTACAAGAGTGCCGTGGACTAAGCTGGAATCTGTAAACATTTTATTCAACAAGAGAAGACAAGGTAAAATGAGCTCTTTGTTAGATCAACAATAATGCATATGAGAGCCACTCAACATTTTCATCCTGGTCTTCTCCTCGATATGACTCAAAAGATGGAAAAATAAATTCAGAGAAACACACTGAAATATTTTTGAAGTTTTTGGTTTTCTTGAACAAGCAAATAAAAGGGAAAAGCAAAAACGAGAGAAACTATTTACACGGGAAAGCTCCCAAGAAGCAAAAGAAGAGCAATGAAATCTTTTGGGGTTTTCTTTTTAGTACTACTCACTACAACTATTTTTTTTGGTTTTTCTAAGGTTTTTCAAACACACAAGAAGAAAGCGAGAAAATAAATCTAACATGGATGGTACAATGAAAAAGTGTGGACACCGACAACTAGAATGAAATATAAAAACATGAATGTAATGTTGGTGGAAAACACGTACTCCCCCAAGTTTAGGCTTTTGGCTTAACTTGGTAATCAGTCAGTAGCCTGGATAGTAGTCAGAGTGGTAGCTCACGAAGGCTCTCTGTGCGGACACCTCGGCCTGTCGTGCTGCCTCAACCGCCTCATTGTGGGCTCGGGCCTCGCTCTCAAGAACAGAATACCTCCCCTTGTTGTGATAATCAAAGAGAGCGGGCGTAGGCAAATATGTGTATACCACAGATGCTTGGTTAAACAACAATTTATAGGTGAAATTATGAATATCTCCTTTAAGGATCTTATGATGTTTCATAGCATCAAAATCTAAATACTGCGTGGGTAGGATATGGTCAAAGGGCAAAGGTGAAACACCCAGCTCTCTTGCTAAACGCATGGCATAAATTCCATCATAGAAATAGACACTATTAGCGTTGTGTTGCAGTTTGCGTGCAACAATCGCTCCAAGATTATAACTCCTATCACCGATGAGAGCGATGCGTAAAAGGCTCAAGTCTGGAGCACAAAGTGTACTACAATCTTGTTTGCCTACAATACAATTCGCATTGAATAAAGCAAAGTACTGAATTGCGAGAAAATGAATGCTCTTTATTCTACCTTGCGTCACTCCCCTCGTCTCACCGTACCAAAGACTAGTTAAGAATGATTGGTACTCAGCCCTTGGCGGTTCGTCAAGCGAACCCCACAATGGGAGTTTGCAGTGGTGAGCAAATATCTCTTGTGATATGATAAATGAATTTTCATACAGTTTAAATGACACCCTAGACTCACAAGAATGAAATTTAAATCCTTTGACAAATGATTCAGTGAGGGTGTGGTGTTGATCGCACTTATCTGAAATGTAGGGACCGTGACCGGCATTGTGAACATATTGCTCAAATTCCTCCTTAATGCCCACACGCACCATATAACCATCGCATGGACATAGGCATGTTTTGGTGGCGGCATCTCGAATGGAACTTTCACTCGGTTCAACATAAGACCGACGAGTAGAGTTGTCACTAGAAGCTGCCCTCGAGAATCTCCTCCTC